GCTTTGTTCTGCCACAGCTGCTGCTGTTGTCACCAGTGATAAGCTTTAATGTGGTTGTATTGTAGCCCTGTTTGCAGAGGAAATGTACATAGTCTGCTTCTGATGCATCAAAGACAAGCCCAGGTTTAACTGCTTTCAGAGGGTTGATATGACCAGAACCATAAGCAAATTCGAGTTCATCGTTCTTCTTTGGGTCCAGGACATGAGCTATTCATGGGGAAAAAGTATTGGTAGTTTAATAGAGAGAAGCACATTGTTCATAAGTTAAAGAGAACATACTAGGGACTTGTATGTTTTTCCCAAAATGAAAACATGTATATAGTCTGTTCATACCTGTGGTCATGAGGGCAGATTTGATTGCAGCAGCTGACCATTTTGGATGGGCAGCCTTGACATAGGCAGCAGCCCCACTGGCATGAGGGCAGGACATGGAAGTCCCAGAGATGATGTTATATTCGACACTCCTGGTGTCTTCGAAGTCAATGGAAGGCGGTGCCACTGGAGACCAAGCAGCAAGTATATCAACACCAGGGGCAGTGAGATCAGGCTGTACATCATTTCACAATTTCAGTAATATATAATATAATGAGCTCAGAAGCATACTTAAAAGGAAAATGATGATGAGAATCATGACATTCAAATTTTTGTCACCTTGAGAATATCTGGGGTTATGGGGTTGGGTCCTCTGGAAGAAAATGATACAATGTATGGTGCCATGACATCCTTGTCCGTCTCACCCACCAGAATTGTTGCAACTGGATTCCTGAAACAGGTTGGTTTTTTCTTTCATTAAAATGATGCAGATAAGAGACTTTCATAAAGTTGGTGATGCCATCCGTTACCCTGCGAATAGAAAATTGTATAAGATTATACTTACTCTGTTGATCTGATATAGTCCAAAACTCTTTGACCATCTTCTGTGGTGATCACTGTTGCTGATAACGGGAAACTGAATGCAAAATCAGTGAATAACGAATCAGCCATAATTGCACCCACACCATCAGCTGACAGAATGCCAGCACCATCCCCGATTCTTTCGCAGAAAACAATCTTTCC